AACTTCACTAGACACAGACACAGACACTAATCGTTACTTGATTTTAATCCGTGCGATTAGTTAACCAGGCTAGACCTGAGTTCTCACAAGAAACACCGATAATAATACTATTATATATATATATATATAATAATACATGTACTACAAAGACAGGTCCATCCAATAAAGTTACACGCCCTAGCACAGTTAAAAAACACAATACTCCTTCTTCTCAGAAACAACCCACTCGTATACAACCGAAACGCAAAAACCTTAACACAGGCTCACAAAATACTGCAATATCTCCACCAAAAACCCAAGCAACCTCACAAATACGACCTCAGGAACAAAGAAACACCATAAATACAATTAAAAAACACAAAACTCCTTCTTCACAGAAGCACACCACGTTATCACAACCCACTCGTATTCAACCCAAACGCAAAGCCAAAGAAACACTTACACAATAAACTCCATTTAATAAAATTACAGGAATTATTATAATGATTTTTTTGTTTTATTTTCCTCTTTCCTGATAGCGTTGGCTATTGTGCCCATCAATAGGTATGTTGGTAAGTACGAATTACATTATCCCTAGATGTCCAATGTACGTGTGTGATTTTTTTTTTTTTTTTTAATGACCCTACATAACTTCACCAGACACAGACACTAATCGTTACTTGATTTTAATCCGTGCGATTAGTTAACCAGGCTAGACCTGAGTTCTCACAAGAAACACCGACCATAATAATAATGACTTTTATTAGCTACTCACAACTGAATACATGCATACGATACAAAAGAAAAACAAATTCTGTATGCTAGGTAGCTAATTGGGCGAAGTTCGACTGCAGTATCAACAGAAACTGCATTCGCTCTTCCACTTAACCCATTTCCCAAATATACATATAATGTTTGAAACGAAAGACTATATGGCTTCTAAATAAAACAATATAAATTGGTGTGCATGGTTGCGGCACAACTTAAGAACGATAGATGAATGCTGAGCTGACAAAGCGAGTTAATGAATGTGTGATTCGATATGGGGACTGAGAACTTGCTCATATAAAAAGACCAAATTGACAACGAGTTTATTGCAACTGACGATCAAGTAAGAATAGTTGGACGTACTTTTTAAATTTAAGAGGAGGCAATCTTTTACACGAGTCCGGCAAGGAGTTGTAAAGTTTCGCTATGTTGTAGCTAAAAGAGCGCTCATAGAGTGTTGATTTATGCAATGGAGGGGTGATTAACGCAGCCGTTTGAAAAATGTTAATGTGCATATTCTAGCATGAAAAGAAAATGTTTGTCCCGTGTGGTTTTTTGACACGGCCGCCATTTTGTTTTTTTTTAATGGCAACGTAGGTCTTGCAACACATCGTTAGAAAGCTTATTTTACCTTCATTACGAATATGCAATAGAAAAAATACGGTTACGCAAAACTAAGTAATTTATTAGAGCGACATTGGTGTTGCCGGTTCTGAAAACCATCGCTACGGAGAATGAGAAGACTAATCTTCGCTTTATTCACCCATGTAGAAAAAACGCAACCGGGGTTTTCAGATCGGCGAATACACTATAAAAAATTTGATGGAGGAGTGGTCGAGGTGAATCTAAGTAACTCAAGTGGAATATTTTTTACAAATTTGAAAGCCAAAACGAGTTTGTGTTGTCAAAGGATACGATAGAACCATTAGTAGCGCTATGTTATATTTTAGTGCGAAAGTTGAAAGTAATTACTGAATTACTAAAGAAACCCTGCCGCGATTTTGACGAGTTTATTGAGGTGGGTGTCTTCTAAATTTGTTATGAGTTGCAATTATAAGTAAACTAATAATACGTGGCGGTTTTGTGTAGAAACAAAGCTTCATTGCGTAGCGAGAAAACTAATGGATGGCGGATTTATGTTCAACTAAAAATAGAGTGCGAATTGGGTTATTGGACAATTGGATTAAAGTGCTCGCATTTAAATTAATTGTTACCACGAAAGCGTTAGGGTCCCAGATGCAAAACATTTCGTTGCGCTATATTTGGAGTGGCAAGTTCCGTTAAAAACAGTTTATTAAATAAAATTGTGCACCTAATTTGTATATACAACGCAGCATAGGGATTTCAATGGTAATTTCTTTATAGTCAATTACTAGCTCCCCTAATTATTTTCGAGCAAAAGTCTAAGTAAGTTTTTTTTAGAGAAAAAAATACTGCATCTGTTCATACTTTTAGTTATAATTTTCCATTTTTCAAAACCGTAGAAATCGATAAAATAAAAAATTACATTTTTATAAATCAGTGAATAAAACTTGCGCAAATGTTACCTTCAGTCTAAAAAGGGGTCGGCACCCCTTCGAGCACTTTCCGAAAGAACGATTTAGTATCCTCAACACACGTGACACGAGCACTGAAGAAGGCATTTTCAGGTGTATGTATTCTGCCCATTAAAACCTCGCTACCTTCGGTCGCTCGGATTTAAAATCTATATTCGAGGAACATTTATAAAGGCCAATTTTGAGCAAAAAGGGAAAATGTAACTGTTTCGACAGGTGGTTGGTGAAGAATGTGACAAAGACCAAAGGTGGTCAGTTCAAGTTGGTCAGTTCAAATACACTACAAATAAACAAAAATACTTCCTCGTCAAGGGTTTGGATTTCTAAGGTGAAAGATGATTGCGTTAAAGGGAGACATCGAGAGAGAAATGAACTGCCGAAATCAATAACCCTGTGTGCCTCTACTGTGGCTGTTATTGTGTTTATTAACTGCACGACCGATATAATTTTTTCTCGTTTCATTTGCGATTAGCACCTCTCAAGACTTACGCCAGGGTCCTCGGGCCGTTTGGTTTTGATTCTTCACTGGCGCTTGTCCCTGGCAAACACTAGTGATTTCGACAAAGTTGTCACCAGCCCCACACAAGCAACCGGTTCGTCTTCAATTACAACCAAACAAGTTACTTTAATTTGTTAATTAACTCACTTATGTGCAATTTCATTAATTACCAATTACCTAATCCTTTATAGTAGTCAAACTCACGTAGCCGTACTTAAATAATTATGTAAACATATTTTTCTATGCACTTATGAGCTAAGCATTTACAATAGTCGGTATATTTCCACTTCAAGATTTATCGACGTTGAGTGGATGATAGTACGAAATCCTGAGAGCTGCAGATGACATTATGTCAACTTCCAAAGTGGAGTGGAGTGGAATTCTCGAAGATAAAACCCTTGTTTTTTATGTTTATCTCTAATTATTTAGTTTAGCAAACGTTTCTCGAAAATGAATGTTCTAGCAATATTTACAGTTAATTTACGGACAAACGCGGGTAGAGTATTAAAATTCTTGATTTTCAAAAGGAAATAAAATGGTACATGCTCTAGACCTGCGTCCGACGAAGAGGTGCTCTTTTCACGGATGTTACAATATTCTAAGGTGGAACGTCAAAACAAAACCTCAGTGCTACTGTAGTATGCGTTCTACCATAGATTTGTAATACGCGAGATTTATCATTAAAAACTATATTTTATTCAAAAATTCCTATCTATGAGACTGCACTGTATCTCAGCTGTTTTTAAAGATAGAGACGATTTTCGCGATCCTGTACAATTGTCTGAAACTTTTAATACCACAAACAAAATCAATCTAGCTATGTTTGTTTCTCAAATACAGGATGAAAACGAAAATTTTGACTATTTGAGACGTTATCATATCTTCCTACCCATGTAAGATAGAAAAAAGGTAAAAACTCCCCATTGTAGATATTTTTGGCGTAGAAAAAATAAATTCTGAGGTTTGACCCATTGTTGGTATTTCGCAATGCAATACCTTGTATATCGTAACGTCATTCTTTTGCATTCTTTTTCATCATTACATTTTAGCCATGCACCAAAACTAAAAACTTTATTTTTTACCGTTTTTAAATAGTAGGCTATGAATTCATAGGAGATTTTGTTTTGTTTATTGTGTCCCTAGTCCCTAAGACTAAGCATCATTTCAAAATTTTAAAAATAATAAAAATGATAATATACAGGGTGTTTTTACTCAAAGTGGACACCGCAATAGGGGTTATCTCGGGGGTTATAAAACTAACACTTTTTTAAAGTAATTTTTTTTCATTTTGGCCTTTGTTTCCAAATTATGGACCTTTTTTGGTTACTTTGGAAGTCTTTATATCGCCATTATTTGTAGTCGCATTTCAAAGGTTATTTCAGATCATATCTACAACTTTTGTACAAAACTTTTTTACAAAATGGCGGTCATTTTAAATTTTGGAAATTGAATAGCACAAAATTTACTCCACCAATTTAAAAACAATTTACCAATTCATTGCCTAAATAATTATCTACAAATCTTAATCATTTTCCTGTAACTTTCATCCTATAACGAAGTTATTTTAGGAAACAGATTCGTGCATTCATGGATTATGCGTAAGAATGTCTAATCAATTTTCTACTGCCACAAATGCGATCTTAATCAAGTTCAAACTAAACTGGGTTATGGCACGGTTTTAGTAGGTTACACCCGACTAATGCTTACTTATAAGTTAGTCTGTATTTCAAATTTTAATAATGATTACTTTCAAAATTGTTCAAATAAATAAATAAATAAACAACTCGTTGAAGAATTTCGGGTTTATCATTTCTCCAGCAGCAGTAACTACTCTTGCTCAAAGGTCTGGTGACCTTGCGGGCCAACTAGTAGGGCCTCCTCGTCCTATCCATTTATTGGGAATGCTTCTAATTTAAGGTTGCCCTCACAACTCTTGATGAATGCGTTGGAGCACCGTCGTGCTGAAACCACATCTATTGCCTAGTCAGTAAGGGTAAATTCTCTAAAAGATTGCGTATTCGTTGCCAATCAGTCAATTTGGCAGCAAATAAGCACCAACGCAATGACTTCCTATTATCCCTGGCCATACATTGATTGAAAATCAGTCCTGATGTCCTTGGTTGAAAAAAGCGTGAGGATTTACAGCGTCCCAGATGTGAGTGTGTGTTAGAAATCTCGTCGACGGCCAAACGCAACGTTTTCGAGTAGAGGATGTACCTAATACAAAAAGGTTCTTCTTACATTCCTGAGATTTATGAACCACCTGCAGAATTCTATTTGGGGTTGGAAATCAGTATCCTTCAGATGCACCTTCTGAAGATGGTAAGCATACATACGTTCTTTGTGAAGGACCTCGTGAAGGACCCTTTGGGTCAAATCTCGGAAATGGTGGTCCCCAAGTTTTTTTTACTACGCCACTGAATTCTACATTAAAATATCTAAAATAAGCAGTTTTTCTCTTTTTTCTATCTTACATGGGTAGTAAGATGATAACGTCCCAAAAGTCTAACTTTTCGTTAGAGAAATAATCGTTGTGTTCATAGGACATCATTTAACTTGAACTTCCAAAGGCGAGTCGAAGTCAGTTCTTTTTTGCCAGTACATGGGTCTCGTCTAGACAATCTTTCCGCCCTTTGAGAGTACCCTCCCTCGACACTCCGTTCTGCAGATCTTCGCACTGAGTGGCTCTTCGGACACATTGTTTTCAAGATTTTCGTTTCGACTTCGCCAATAGATATGTCTCGTTCACACGATTCCTTTTGCCTTTTATTTATTTATTTATTATCCCTCTCTTGTTCTGGGCCCAGTGACCCGCATAATGCTTTTTAGATGTGCCTCTGTAGAAGATCTTACGTTGTTCTATACTACTCTGGTATTTTTATCTTACGAAGTAGGAAAACTGATCTAAGGAAAGTCCCAGCTCTGTCACAGATGAAAAATTCTTAGCTCAGTTCAGGTTCGAACACCCGACCTCCGGCTTTATAGCCCAACGCTCTACCATCGAACCACAAAGTCGTCCTTTGAGAGTACTCTCCTCCGACAAACCGTTTTCGAGACATTCGCTTTTAAAGTTTTGACATCACCAATGGATATATTTCTTCCAGACGTCCTAATCTTTATTTGTGAGTACCCTCTTCCGACAATCCGCTCTTGAGACATATGGAATCATAACCGATCACGATATGGGGTCGACGAGAAGGACTAACCAGCCCCCACCCCGAGCCCCACCCCCTATTCTGATAAGGGTAAGGAAGAAGGGCGGTAGTTGGTTGAGAACAGGTCTTTTGTTGAGCCCTTTCACTAGAATATCCCCCCCCCCCTTCCATTTTCAAAAGTTTTACTTGGCATCACTAAATGCATGCGTATGCAAAATATGAGACCAAAATTGCTTGTCGCATATAAAAGTTAAGGTCGATTCTCACTTGCGCTGCACTAAGCTCGGCAACACGACGCGATGCCGCGCTGCAAAGTGCCGCTAAATAAGATTACATGTTTTTAAACGAGTGGCGTCGCAAACTGTAGTTGTAGCTTTAAGTAAGAATGCATTCATCATTAAATCTTTTTTAGCGACGCTTTGCAGCCGAGCAGCGCGAGTGAGAATCGACCTTTACTTTCAAAAACAGTAGGTATCTCGAGAAACAGGAAATAATTCGTGGGGGGGGGGTCCTTAACACCACAAAATTGGATGATGGTATGGCACATCTTCAAGGTATAGACTACCCATTGCAGAAAATTTCAGAACCCTAAAACCATTCTAGAAGTGGGTCCCCAACATTTCTGCGAAGACCAATTTTGCAGATTCAGAGTGAAGGGACGAATCTACCCTCCAAGGATAGGAGTAAAAATATAACTTCTATAATGACGAACCACTCTGCAAAAACAGATTGACGTACGTAGATAAAGAAAGGACGGACCTATAGCATAATATAAGTTTTTCCAAACTAATACAAACAAAATTGCAAAAGTTATACTTTTATTCCTATCATTGAAGGGCTGATTCGTACCTTATCTGTCGAATGTGTGAAGGGTCTGTTTGCAGACATGGTTGTTGCGTTTATTTTGAGTTTTTGTTGCCTGTTACTAAAGTAATTATACACGAATAAGCTATGCATATCGGAGTTACTTAGGTATATAATATAAGGGGAAATTCGATCGTTTTTGTGGTTTTGTGGTTTTTCAATGCTCATCATAATTAATTTATATTGTTTTCATGCGCTTTATGTGACCCTTTTTTAACGTAACACAACGAAGTTGAGGTAACGCTTATGTGCTCGATTTTCCGTCGTCTGTGTGTCTGTTCCATCGAGATCTTCGGGTTTTCGCTAACTGACTACTGGTAGCTAACTGATTAGCTGCTATGGTCTTATATTTCCCCGTTACTCATCGTTTACAGGTGTGTTACGCGGTAACCCGCACGAGTGAGTTTTGAAACATTATTTTTTGATAAACTCCTATTACTATACCTTAGCTGGCCAACCATACGTGCGAAGTTGAAAGTTGAAACACCAAACAACCCACTAATGGTTTACATATTACATATATGACCCTATGACACCACCAGACATCTTATCTAGGCGACTCTCTTAAAAGCACACGCGTTATTAGAACACAAATTCCAATTGTAAAAAGACCGATTACTAATAAAGTGCAGACAATGGGACGAGCAGAATCGTTCCTTTTGTGCTTTGAAGTTTTGTCTCTATGATGAATCTTTACTTTCCCAATTAGGAATAAAAACAGTCCATATGTAATAGCTTAAAGTGGCACTAGGTCACAAGAGCATAAAACGATGAAAATATACAAATGAGAGGGAGATTTGTCACCCCCTCCCTGCGCCACTCACCTGGTGGCGCTAACCTGAAAAATTATGCACCTAGAGTTAACAAAGTATCCAACCAAAGTAAAGGTCTTTTCCACCAAATCTATATGATGGCGTTAAAAATCCCAAAGGGCGCTAGCGTTTCGTTTACTGGAAATCTAATACAGACGCAGAGTGAATCAGGTGTACGTATCATAGCTAATAAATTATTAAAGAATGTTATTAGCAAAGTTGATTTGGCAAGGAGTAAGTATATTTTAAAAATTCCCGTATGAAAATGAGGTGAAAGCTGATGTATGTCGGCAACGTGATCTTAAAAAAAAGTACATAATTTGCGTACATACCTATAAATAAACTGGCAAGTGGTAAAGTGACTTTTTCAAACACAACACAGCGACCATAATAAATTTAAGTTCACTTTTCGGTACCACCCCCTATAGGTACTACCCCATTTACGTTTGCACCAAGCGCATGCAACGTGTACAAAGCACATGATAAATGTTCTTTGTAGCTTGCAGCAGGTGTCATTCCTCTTTTATAAAATTGATCGAAGTCGGTGCGTATTTTTTACTTGGGCAACTGTTTAAATAAAAAACTAAAGAGCAGATAGTAGAATTTTATCGCAAGGGTGATCGCGCGCTGCGAGTCGGGCCAACGAACGTTCTTGTAAGAGCGATGAATGAAAAAAAATTATATAAGAAAACTCACCTGTAAAAACCGCAATAAATTGGGCGAATCTCCCATGGAGCATATTCGAACTATCCAAATTACGCATTGCAACTAAATTTTATTTAAACAGCACGCGCGTATTAATTATTCAGCTAATCATCATCTGATAGGCGACGCGCTTTGTTTTCAGCACTTGAAACTTTATCACAATAAAATTGATCCGTTGATGCTCCTGCTTGGAATGCATTAAGATTTTTCTGAACAACGATCCGACGTGTACCATCGGCGCATTCTGTTCGGCAAGCCAGCTACATGTACTTCTCTTCTCAATATACCTGTCGTACGCAGCAGGCCTGTAAGAAGGAAAAAAAGATGCAAAAATAGAAATATTCACACGTTGCCAAGTTTACTATAAATAGATTACAACAAAACGCAACACGTGTTTTGGTATTTACATCGTTCAAATTCATCAAACTACTCATTTAAAAGCGTCATAAAAACTAATTGGACATATTAATACCATAAACTAGTTTGTAGTTAATCAAAAATTAACTGTCTATCTTTACGAATAATTTAAAAACAATTGCGAAATGAACCTTTCATTACAATAATTGTTTCTAGTACCATAATGTTTATTGACCTACTCTTCTATTCGCACCTTACAAATTTAGAGTTTGTACTAAATTTTGCTCTGCCGATGAAACATTCTTAAATTAAAATGGCGCTTAGCACCAGGTAAACCGTAAAAGTACTAGGGAGATGTACCATGCAAGTGTGCTGGAACAGCACAATCTACTTTTGAGCGAACTCGTTCTTAATCCTGTTTTAACGGTGCGTAATGAACTGTTGATAAAAAAACATTTATAAGTGCAGATATGCCGCTTTCGATCTGAAGAAGTAGGTACCTAAATCACCGTGATTAAAAACGCGGCTTCAATTAGCGCATCTAAACAACTGCATAGAAGAAAGTATTCGCGTTTTTCCAAACGGTATTATAAATCCTATGAGCCTATCACGGCGTTTTCACACCACATGCATTTTTTTAATTATTTTCCAATTGGTCAAAATTTCGTTTATTTGCTTATCCATTGTGAAAATGTCGTTTGACCTGTTTTGAATGTCGTTAGAATATTCGAAAAAACGAAAAGAAAAGGATTCGGCTAAATGGACCAACGTCTTGAAGCGTCATTAAATTTAAATTTAATTGTTTTAAAATTTTTCAAAGAACGAAAACAATTATTTCGATTCGGTTGGTAAAACTTTTGAAGCGCACTTTTTAAAACTTCGGACCACGGTAGATGAATATCGTTTTATGCACACTTTCCTATATCGTCCGTTTTAGTTGCACCACCATTCCACTCATTGGTATAATATAATATAATATAATATATTATAATAAAATATAATATAATGGGGTGTGGAACAAAGTCATGCTATTAATAACGGGGGCATACCGTACATCACCAATAGACCGCCTCAATGTAGAAAATCATTCGTTACTCATTTACTTGAAATTCAAGCAGCAACACCTTAGGTATGCCGTAAAGTTACTTGCACAACCATCCCATTTCTTACTTGAAGATATCACAAATCCCATACTACACCCCAGATACGAATGGCAACACACCAGAACTATACTGGCAATTGTGAAATTGAATAAACAAATACGCGACTATGGAAAATTAGATGGAAACCTGTGGGAAGAAGAAACACCGGAAATTGATAGGACAGAGGTAACAGATTGTCTTTTAAAAGAAATAAACAAGGATTTAATTGTAAAATGGCAGGAAGTATGGTCGACAAAGGAAACAGACCTTAGAGTAATCCACCCACAGATAGAGGGGAAGAGGTGTACCAAATGGAAAATTAAAAGAAAAGATCAGATTGCAATCACAAGACTACGAATCGGACATACAAGATTAACCCATAGTCACCTCCTATTGGGAAAGAAAAATAAAAAATGTGCCCGGTGCGGGGAAACCCTGACGGTGCAACATATTATGAACGACTGCATACTATAGATATAAATATAACATATCCTTAGGGGTACTAAACAATCCTGTAAAATACACTGATGTAATAAAGTATCTGAAAGAAATAAATATATATACAGAAATATAGATATATGGCAGAAGACTTACCCTAAGAGGAATGCCAATTACCAGTACAGTAGACTCTTCCTCCGGTAGGTCTGGGTTGGTCTGGAAGAGAGGGAAAAAATATATACCTATGTATAACATAATATTGTAGCGAGCATTCCAGGAATCTCGATAGACATCGAGGCGCCATGAAGAATGAGTCATCGGCGATCAGGAACGAAGGCGGATGTGACGTAAGAGACGTTACGTGTTGACGCTAGATCATTCTGAAGCAACCTTGAGAACTCAAGAATATCTAAGAACGTTCCGAATTGTTCGAGAACAATTGTCGTTTACTATATAAGCAAATTATAGCGTATTTCAGGCAGTTCTTATTTCGATGCGCTTGTGTTATTTTTTTTATATAAATTGTAAGTTATAAATAATATTATTACTGTGATAAATTAATTCATTAAGAGACTTATAAATTTATTGTTAATTAATTGCTATATAAACGAGGTCGTTAAATTTACGTTACAAATATAACTTTCGGCTCGTCACTATACTGGAGCAAAGAGCGAAACTCAGTACATATCAAGAAGGATATCGAAAAATTTACAACACAACAGGTCACATCCTAAGCATCGACCAACTAATTAAGGAGACATTCACAAATACTCTACATATAGAGACATTTTTCGATATACAAAAAGGAAGCTGAAACAAATAAATATTCTTACAAATATTAGCCTTGCGTAATCTGCGCATGCGCACACATGTTTAAAATATGCAATGCGTACCTTTACTAAAAACATCTGTGGTTAAAATTTCAAAAAACTATCTTCATCAATAAGAAAGATGACATTGCGCAGTTTGCGTATGCGCACTTTTGATTTTTACAATATGAGATATGCTTGTCTTTACTAGAAGCATCTGTGATTAAAATTTCAACATCTCCATAAATAAGTAAGTTGACATTGCGTAGTTTGCGCATGCGCACATTTGATTTTTACAATATGCGATTTTCTTATCTTTACTAGAAGTATCTGTGGTTAACATTTCAAAAAAATATCTGTATAAATAAGAAAGTTACCAATATTTTATTTGCCATAGCAATAAATAACATAGTGGATGGGATCCTTGCCAAATCATTATTGTACGTAGATGATCTATTAATATATCTTTGCTAGACCTACAACAGGTATCACAAATTCTTCAAAAAGATGTTGGAGTTCTAACAGAAGAAGCTAAAAGCAGCGGATTTCGCTTCTTGTCCAAGAAGACAAAATTCATGCACTTTTGCCGGCTGAGGCATGAGCATGACTATCCACCACTCTACATATCCAAAGAACGAAAGTACACCATATATCGCAGAGTTCAAACTCATCCCTGAAAGTTGAAACGTCTTAAAATACTGTGCGGGTATATAGGTACCTACATGGGTAGCTGTTGACAAAAATAGTAGGTAAATGCTTTTATAAGAAGTCGATTAGAGTACGAATCAGTAGACCACCACAGATCCTATACAAAACAACACTCTAAAAAATTACAAACAGTATAGAATAAAGCGACGTTACTATGTACGTACAGGCGGATTCCGCACCTCTCCAAATTGGTCTTGCCACGGGACGAGACCAACTCAAAGTCTCGTCTCGTCTAGTCTCGTTTGGTCTCGCGTGGTCTCGCCATACTATCCAAAAATGGTGTCCTACATACAAGCAGGTTCAAGCTTACGACATTATAGAGAAAAGTATGGCATAACAGACATTGGTGCATTTATCAGACCAGATGAATGCAAAAAACTCGGGAAACTCATACAAAGCACGACGATCGTGTGGTGAATACGCTAATGACCTAGGCAGTTGACATGCATTACCAAAACGGATACATAGGCAGAGGCGTAGCAAGGGTTGGGCAAGCAGGACACGTGTTCTGGGCGCCATTCAAAAGGGGGCGCTTAAATCACCAATTATTAAATTTAACAATTAACATAAATCAAAATAAACTAGTTTGAGTTATAACTCGAAAATTATAAAAGAAGAATGAAAATTAATAAATGTGCCTTATTAAGCGGAAAAAATCTACAATTTTTGTTCTTTGCATATTTCTGTATTTCTCATACTAACGATTCTACAACATTTAAAAGAAAAATCACAAAATCTGTTTTTCGCTCATATCTAGTAAACTGTGGATATTTTTCAAAAAACAAAAGCATCTTGAATAAGCTCTTAAAACGACAACTCTTTCCTCATTTAACTGAATCTCTATGTCTTACGGTTTCCGAGATCCTAATGCTTAAAATCCAAAAAACACCCTGTATATTCAGTGTTCCAGACAGAATTTTCACCCTGTATATAAATGCGCACGCGACGGAAATGTACGAAAACGCATTTTCACCGTTACTTACAACAGCTGCCCCTCCCGTCGGATTTGTTCTCGTTCTATTAACCCCGAAGAACCCACAAATATGTCCTACCTGCATCCGCGGATCTCTTGATCTCAATTTACAGATTTGTGCGACTTTTTTTCGAAACGTGCGATCGGTACTCTCAGGAAGGGGCTTCGGAAATTTTCTCATCCCGGGATCGAAAGTAAGGCGCATGTCGAATTTCGTCGTCTCGAGATATTTATTAGAGATTTTCAAGCGTCATGAGCGTCTTGTATTCGTCCCTCTCGCTGAAATATGTAATAAGATATATCTCGATTTCGGAGGTTTTGTCGGCTCACCTCTCACTCTTCTGGCCTTACGGCGGTTGCACATCGATCGTAATTACATAATCAGTATCGCAATCAGAAAGTGGGAATGTGATGGCTTTTGCGTTTACGATTATTTGGTAACTTTCATCACCACACACCCATAAAATGAAAATTAAAATTTTTTATTAAAATATTTTGGCATGTTCATTTTGTTTGCTTTAATGAAAGGAACCACAAAAATGTTAACGAATTTGCCCCTCTAATATGGAAGTTGCCTATTGGGCATGCGCAGTACACGTTTTAGCATGATCTTTTTGTTTACTTTTATTATACCTACGGTCCTAGAGCATAGAAATTTCAAAATGTTAATGATTTCAATTATATATAAATGAATATATAAAATGAAAATTCCATACTGATTAGGCATACTGGTTTATAAAATTAAATGGCCTACTGATTATACGTAAGTATGAGAAAAATTTTAAAAAATATATCTTTTATTTAAACAGGCATTTTGGAAGATCACTTGTTTTTTTATTGTTACGATGATAATAATAAAGCAACTTAATTTTATAAAAACTTCACATAGACAAATTTAAACAAGTATAAATTGTGCACAACTCTTGTGCAGATAAAGCGCATTTTTTATAACCGAAATAGCTTTTGTTTTGACATCACCAATGGATATATTTCTTGCAGACGTCTCAATCGCCCTTTGTGAGTACCCTCTTCCGACAATCCGTTCTTGAGGTATAAAGGTCGAGGAAGAGGGCTATGGTTGGTAGAAATTAATTTCTTTCGTTGAGACCGTTCATTAGAGTACCATGAAGAATAAAACTAGTTCCACTCCCCCCCCCCCCTCCGCGATCACGAAAAAGAGTCGCACGGGAAAGTTATAGTTTGTACAAACCAATTTATTTTAAAGGAGAGGTTGACTAGTTACTTGTTGAGATTGCTGTTAATGATACGCACATTTCTAAAAAGTTGTTATAGCGCAAGACATCGATGTGATAGTAATTTTGACTGACAGAGCAAAGACTGAGGAACAAATGAAGCTAGATTAGCAAACGGTGCTGCAGCAGTGTATTCTTCGAAATCTTTAAAAAACCAATAACAAAAACCATTTTTTCACTGCTTTGCATGTGACTCAACTTCTTCAATACAGAAGGAACAAGTAAGAGGGTTTTCGCTCTAAGGCGAGTACCTTAGCGCATTTTCCATGCATTTATCAGTACTTCCCAAAAGACTATAGGTATGAGCGCTGTGTTTGCTATTAGTAGAAATATTTGTGGTTAAAATTTCAAAAAAATATCTCAATAAATAAGAAAGTTGACATTCACATACAGTGATATTCGTGTACAAGTAGACATAGGGATTTCCTATAGAAATTTCCTGTCTACTTTTACATGATAAAAAGTCTCCTGAAAGACGCCTAATTTTATGCAATCAAAGTAACTTCTTGAAACAAAGATCTGGCTGTCATATTAATTATTAATTTGAATATTGTTGCTTTAGCTTCACAGAAAATAAATCTCTTAAGCTCCTTTAATTGTTATCAGCACTACCCCAATTGGAAATATCAACTTTTTCTTTAGTTGAATACATCGCACACGAACCGAAATTAGTTTTGTTGTAGGTAGTAAAATTAGGCTCTTTCAGGAGGAGACTTTTTATCATGTAGGTAAAAGTAGACATAGGAAGTCCCTATGTCTACTTCTACATGAATATCACTGCATAATGTTTACAATATGAGATCTGTTTGTCTTTACTAGACTTACTCAACAAAATATATTAATAAATAAGAAAGTTTACATTACGCAGCCTACACATTGGCACATTAAGGCGAGGACGAACTAACGGACAGGCAGACGGAAGGGCAGAGAAAGTGGAAGCAGAGCGCACCCAACAAAATGAGCGTAAGAACGTTGATATTTTAGAAAAAACATTTTTTACAATAATCTTGCTACCGTTGAGGGGATTCTGCAGGCTGGTCAGTACTTAACATCTTAATGATTATTTCGCACATGCGCAGGCTACACATGTTTTTAATTTATCTTAAGTTCTTCGCATTAAAACTAAAAAGAAAGAAACGACCGAACTTCTCAAGCAATCACTCGTCCTAAATATTAACCGCGCGCCAACTTGCTGAATTTCGAATAAAACATCCCAATTCGTGTAGGTTAAACAAAGAAAAAATCTCTTTAAAATACCATAATAAAAAACGTAGGTTACTATTTGAAAAAAAAAGTTGTATGCCATGGCACTAAAAACCAGGCTAAAAACTCACCGTTTTTTGAGATTTGACTCAAAGTTGGTAGTTTTTAAATGCAACACCCTGTATATTTGAACGTCAATCTTTTTGCATTCTTTTGTCTGCTTAAATTGCACAACCCATATTTTTTTACTTTTAGCCTTGAAAATCAATA